TAGCATAGCAGGTTATAAAGTCAATACCCAAAAGTCAATAGCATTCCTCTACACAGACAACAAACACACTGAGAGGGAAATTATAGAAACAATATCTTTTAGAATAGCACCGAGGAAAATGAAATACCTTGGAATTCATCTAACTAAAGAAGTCAAAGATCTTTTCTAGGAAAATTTTTTACAGTACTCTGAAAAAAGAGATTGTAGAGGATTTCATTAGGTCTTTTAATAATCTGTTTTTCCTTTCTCTGAGAAATCCATACTGTAAATATTGGTTCAGTTGATGGAGTTTCATTTTTCCTATCAACTATTTCGGTGTTCAACTTTCTTCTTCTTGAAGTTCTCTATAGACTTTTATGGTGGTCAGTAATTGTGTGTTTAGAAGGTCTGAGTTCTTTTTATTAAAATGTTCATGTATTTCTCTGATTTCACTAATATTCTATCTTTGTTCTCTTGCAGATCACTGAGGTTCTTTTTTCTTGTTTTCTACCAGGAATCAAACTCAGGGCTTCACGCTTGCAAGGCAGGGGTTGTGCCACTGAGCTATATCCCTGGCCTTGAGATTCTTTAAGGCAATTACTTTAAGCAGTTCATAAATCTCTATTGCTTTAGGATTAGCTACTGGTGCTTTATTTTCTTTCTTTGATGATGTCATGTCTGCCTGATTGTTTATGAACCTTGTAGCAATTAATTGGAATCTGTGAATTTAAAAAAGAGACTTGTTCCAGTCTTTGCTAACAGGTTTCAGCTAGGAAAGCCCTTCACCAGAGATTCTAAGCTAGTCGTCTTGGGTGGTCCAGGAGAAGGCTTGCTACTGCTGTCCTGGGGCAGACTGGCCTGAGGTCTGTGTTAGCAGATGTGGAGGCCAGATGTTATGGTTTGTGTCTAGTTGCCCCCTAAAGCCTCATTCAGTCATTGGGGCAGACTTCTAAAGCTTGAGATTAATTCATGAACTAATGCTGAGATTATGGGTCTGAGTACTAACCCACCCTGGGGTGGATATCCTGATTACAATATAAGGAATGGAGAAAGGCTTGCTAGCTGCTGCAGCTGCTGCTCCTCTCTGCCCTTTGCTGTATTCTGCCGCCATGAACTTGCTCTCTGCCATGTGCCACTCTGCCTTGCAGCTAGCTAAGTACATACTGAATCCTCCACTAAATATGAGCTAAAAAATCTTTCCTTCCTTAATTTTGGGTGTCATGTATTTAGTCCCAGCAATGCAAGAAAAGTAACTAAGATACCAGGTATGTGGATCCATGGAGATTAACCTGACACTGGGGACTACTGAGACAATCCTGGACCTTGTGATCTACATCTCCTTATTCCTTCCCTGATACAATATCCTTCTTTTTACTGGCTGAATAATACCCCAATCCCCCTTTCTACAATTTATTTATCTATTTATCTATCAACAGACACATGGGTTATTTCTTTCTTTTTTTGTTTTAGGGGTCAAACTCATGACCTTACACTTGCTAGGGCTTGCTAGGAAAGTGCTTATGCCACTGAGCTATCTTCCCAGCCTTGTGGGTTGTTTCTATGTTATACCCATTGTGAATAATACTCCAATGAACATGGGAGTGTAGATAATTCTATAAGGTGCTTTAATCTGGGGGTATATAGATTTTCTGCATTTAGTCACATTCGTATGGATTTAACATGTTAGTGTGAATACTTACATTGTTATTTTATTGAACTATGCTAAATGAAATTTGTATTATAAAGAAGACATATTAGTTATTTTTTTCCATCTTCCCTATCCTCTTTTTCTTCATTTCATAATTTGTGATATTTGAGAACATATTTTTCTACTATTATCTTTGAAAATATATTGTTTTTAAGGTATCCTCATCTGAGTCCCAAGTACAAGGAGTCCTTTGATGCAGGCTGTAACCTCTTTGCCAAGTTTTCTGCATACATTAAGAATACACAAAAAGATGCAAATAAGAGTAAGATCTCTTTCTTTCAATTTCTATTTTTCTTACTTACTTGTTACCTTCACAATTTCATTCAACTAAAACAGTATTTCCCTGAATTTATAGTATATGTTGGGGTAATAGCCTACTCTTATTGTCATTTTCTGTTATCTACTCTTAAATTCTCTTAATAAGTTTTATTAGATTTAGATCCCAAGATTTAATGTAGCAATTATTAATATAGCCTAATTACAGTATATGGACATGATAGGCATGAACTAGCTACAGGACTATGTATCTTTAATGTTCCTTAGAATGTAGTACTGCCAACTCCTATAAAAAATTCTTGAATAGGTTTAATATCCTTTGACTTATGAGAACTAAATCTCTTCTTTTGCTTTTAGATTCCTCCGTATTGGATAACATTCTCTCTCTCTCTCTCTCTCTCTCTCTCTCTCTCTCTCTCTCTCTCTCTCTCTCTTTCTCTTTTCAATGAATCTCACCAAGAAAAATGCAAATCCAAGATGTTTTCACTCATCATTAGATATGACTAAGTCTCATCAGTGAATAGTTGAACATTCTAAATAGTCAAGTAGATATTGAAGAGATAGTGTAAGCAATGTGTATAAATAGAAATGTTTAAATCATGAAAAGCATATTAAGAATATATTTAGTCATAAAGATAATACACTTATAAGTAACCTTATGCCTTCGTTGTCTAAGATTTTGAAAAAAATCTGCTCAAAGAATTTAAGCGTTTGGATGACTACTTAAATACCCCACTTCTGGATGAAATTGATTCAGACAGTGCTGAGGAACTCACAGTTTCCAGAAGATTGTTCTTGGATGGAGATCAGCTAACACTAGCTGACTGTAGCTTGCTGCCCAAGCTGCACATCATTAAGGTTGGTCTTTACAGGCTGCTGGGTGTAAAGGGCTTCGTGAATTGCTGATATATAGCACAGTAACCTTCTAGTATGATGTTATATGATAGCTTTGTCATCATTGTCATTCATAGGGTGTATCTCCTTTTCTTCCTCAGAGAAAAGATCCATAATTATCTCCTTTATAAAACATTAACACTTCTTGTTTCTTTCTTCCTAAATCAGAAGGTGTTTTCCATTATCTTATCTATAAAATAAAGATAACAATATTAACTTTTTTCATAGAATTGCTGAGAAAATACAAAAATTAAAGTATAAAAATGCTTAGAACACACAGTACCATGGTTCACAGCTTTCGTTATGAACAATATGGGCTATTAATATGATGATGATTTAATCATTAATTCAACAAATATTTGTTGACCAGGACTTGCACAGAATTTATATCTTGGGCCAGACAGAGTACATAAACAAACAAGAAATAAGAAAGACCCTAAATAAACTCCTGAGGATGTTAGCTTTTCTTTTCTGTGCTCCTCTTCACTGGACATATTCATAGCACCAATAAAAACATTTATAGAAAAAATATTAAAATAATGAATCCAAAATTCAAGTTTATTTTGTAGTACTTGAATTTGAGATACGTTCCTACACAGTAGGTAAGAAACTGGTGTCTTCTTGCCATTTATTTTTCTTCATTTTTACACCAATCCTAGGTTGCTGCCAAGAAATACCGTGACTTTAACATTCCAGAAGAGTTCTCAGGAGTCTGGCGCTATCTGCACAATGCCTACTCCCGTGAAGAATTTATTCACACATGCCCTGAAGACAAAGAAATTGAGAACACCTATGCAAGTGTGGCTAAACAGAATTAGGACAGCTCTTCCAGGAAAGAAAGCTCTCTTTGCTATCTGATTTTACTTACCACCATATTAGAAAGATTTTTGGAAATAGGAATATGAAAATTATTGTTTCATCTATCCAACTCATTTATGAAAAGGAATTCTATTTTCTGTATCTAGTTAGCCATAAGCTGCCCACTGTACATTTTATATAACTTCATATTTTCACCTCATTTTCTTTCTGTGACAAATCATTGTGATCTTCAAGGACAAGGAAAGCATTGAGATCTTTTGGCTTTTGCTTGAGTTCCTAGAATGCATGAGCTAAGTAGATTTATGAAGTTACAAATGACATAGTAGAGCCACAACCTCAAATTGCTCCTTAGAAATAATTCCACCTAAATCATTAAAATAATTTTACATTTGTTACTTTAATATATACATGAGTTTGTTTCTAGTGTGAATAATCAAATGAGTGAAAGAGAATATCAGAAAAGTGAATTCTAAAAGGTTTGTTTAAAAATTCAGTAAATGAACCAATTGGTTTTGAACAGTATTCAAGCATTAAAGACCTAGAAATATGATTACTTCATACTCAGAGATGAGATTATGCTGTTGAGGCCAGATTATATAATTGCTAAAGGACCAAGGACTCACTTGATAACTTTATTTTTAAAATTTATTTACTTTTGTTAGGACATGTTTATAGTACATAATGATAGCATTTACAATGAAAGATTTGCATATGTACATAACACATCTTAATTCTTTTTTCCATCCCCTTCCCCCCTCCAACCTTTCCTTCCTTCTTCATTTTACATTGTGTTTTCATTTTTCCACCAATTTTCTTCTTTAAATCCCTTTTCCTTTCCTTCCCTTTCCTTCTTCCTCCCTATCTCTTGTTCACTTCTCATTTGAACAAGTTATTTCAACTCCCTGATACCTCTCCTCCATTTTTCTCCTTCTTTATACTTTGAGTTTCTCACACAAGAGAAACAATGCAAAATTTAAACTAAGAAAGATCAAAAGTAAGTACACAGAGAAGCTGAAAAGTAAATTGAATATTTTATTCACAGAAATAAAATGAAAACTAAAAAATTTGGCTGACCAAAAGATCATGTTGCTGCCCATAAAAGGTGAAGGTATTCAGTCTTTAGAAGATGATCACAAAGCTTTTTTTTTTTTTTTTTTTGAACCAGGGATTGAACCCAGGCCCTTGTGCTTGCCAGACAAGCGCTTATTCTACGGAGCTATCTCCCTGGCCCCAGATCACAAAGCTTTTAACAGAATTTAAATTAAACTATGTGTATTGAGATTCTTAAATGTAATAACATTTTACTATGTTTTACACATAATAAAAACAAAAGCGGAAGTGCAGTGTCAAATAAAAGGAGAATATGAGGTTATTATATGTGAAAGAGGGATTTAGATGAAATTTAAATGGAACTGCTTAATAGGCTTACAGAAAAGACATGTACTCATTCCCCAAGGTGATTGTAAACTGCATGTACTAATAAAACAAAAATAGGACAATAAATAAAGAATTAACATCAAATCTAAGCATATAGAAATGGCCCAAAGTACTGCTTTGAAGTCAAAGACATGTGTCCTCTTTCCTGGAAGACTTCTTATCTGAGACTGCACCTGGCCTGTAAATTGGGATTGTAGCTTCTCTGAACAGCTCAGATCTTTCTGTCTTCATTAATATGATTTCAGAAAGTAAAATTTGTAATCATCTGCAATTTTATTATTTTTTATTATGTATTTGGTAGAGGATTTCACTAGGCAGCTTGGACTCGTAGTGATCCTGTTTTCAGCCTCCCCAGCACTGGGTTTATAGGCATGCACCACCACACCCAGGAGGCTGACTCAGCGTGCCCATAAATGGCATGTGGTGCCAGGGATCAAACCCAGTCCCTGAACTTGCCTAAGCAGGCGCTTAGTCCACTAAGCTATCTCACCAGTCCTAATAATTTGCCATTTTGAATAACAAAGTTTCTCAGTACCATGTCCTGAATTTCACTAGCTAATGCCAGTGTTACAGATTTAAAGATAAAGTATACCACCACTAGGCCTCAGCATGTATCAAAATAGTGATAAGTGAATATCCAACTCTATTACCTTCTTAGACAAAAGAATTATTTTTATAACAGCTGAATGGAGCTGCCAGAGTCAAGAGGAAATGAGTGTCCCATCCTGCATTCCTATTATCTGTATAGATGATAGCAATATAATTCAAATCAATTAATCATTACTATGTTGCTATTATTTTATTTAATCCTTACAATAACTCCATGAAGTATGTAAAATACAATTCTCAAATGTTATTTTTGGATGAACAAACCATTAGGAAGACAACCATTTGAAAAGTATTAGAGGGATAGAGATTTACGTAGACAAGAAAGCAATGGTGACAAAGAATTAATAAATTTACTGATTAACTTTCTGTAGGACAATAAGGCATTTTATATTTGGAGGTAAGTACTCCATTGGGCTGTACAATTATAACAATATGTCAATTTCTGCATACTTTTAGTTATAACTTTATAGGTCTCCAAGTCATCTGTACCTTTACCAATTTTAGTCTTTTTAATCAAATATGTTGCAACAGCAGTGTAACATTCTCGAAGAATCATAGGAACTCAATCAAGCTTATATAAGCAGATACTTATATATAAAGCAGATGCTCTATTTTGACAAGTACTATTTTTTTATTTTTCTAGGACCAGGATAAATGTTTTATTTCCAAAACAATTGTTAACATTATTCCCAGTTTATAGATAAGTTTTACTGGTGAAGAAACTAAAATTCAAAGAAGTTACATATCCAGTCCAATTTTACTCATCTAGTGAGTGGTAGAGTTGTCATTTGAACCCACACTTTTAGTTAAAGAATACTCTACTTCACACCTAAGAGATGATCCTTATATTCAAAAAGTGCACAGTTCAGTAATGGAAACATGCATTTACAATATGTGCATTGAGAAGGTTAAACACAGGTTATACAACAGAAATACACTCATATGTTTCCTTAGCCTGATCACAAACGAGGGGGGAGTGCATACTCAGGACAGAGCTCTCCTGGACTGATAGTAATGTCCAGTAAGTTTCTATGACCATGGGCTAAGTTTATCACACCCTTGTGGGATTCAGGAACTTCAGGAATAATAACAGCAGCCCCAGTCCAACCCAATAAATTACTCAATATAGGAAAAAAAATTTTTACCTCTTAGGTCACTTTTTTAAGGGCAATTTTTTATTTTGAAACAATTATATGACAAAAACACATAGCAGTGGAATGGAAAGTTCATAAATGCAAATAGGGGGCAGGGGAGAGAGCGCAGTAGAATAAGCACTTGCTTAGCAAGTGCAAGGTCCTGAGTTCAATCCCCAGTACCACAAAAAAAAAGGAAAGCAAAGCAAATAGGTATGAAAATTTCCTATCTAATAAGATAGCATATCTGAGCAGTTGGTAAAAATTGGACTTAATAAATGTACTGGGGCAACTACTTGAAAGATACAGCAGATATCTCACTCCTTACATCAAAATAAATTCCAAGTAAATAGTATATCAAACATCTTAGGCATAACATGGAACAGGTATTTTTCATCAAGTATTGATATGTTGAACTTTAAGTCCCTACAGAATATGATAAAAAA